CAAACCCAAACCCAAACCCAACCAAACCCAAACCTTGATGAAGATGATTTAATCATTTAGTACGATGAATATGTCGTAATAAAAATTAAGACAGATTTAAACTTGTAGTGAGCTCTATTCAACCGCCTCTTGTTCCAACTCAGTGGTAAACAACTTCCAAGCGTCACAGGAAATAACCTCAAAGTTTTAGTTTTCGTGAAAGCATACTATTTGTATGTTTCAAATGGAGTATCTGATGAAACAGATTGAATCCTAGAAAACTTTAAAAATTCAAATCTTTAATTAAATCTTGAGAATAAGATTTGGAAATTTATATTTGGAAAAACAATAGTTCGTCATTCTGTATAATTCTGTTTCTAAATATATTAATGTAAGTTCGAACCCGATTGGTAAGAAATTTTAATTTGTGTTGTATTTTTAATTGAAAATTCTGGAATATTCTTTTAGAATATTCTAATTGTAATTTAAATTGTTCCTGGATTTAATTGCCAGAATGTCACAAATATGAAGTGTTTGGTAAATATTTTTTTCTTAGAATTTTCTATGAGGTTGTCCAAATTAAGTAAGAATTTCTTATAGAAATTCTGATCACCATTTATAAAAATTATCCCCATTGGTTGTAATAAATTACTAAATGATTTTCTAGATCTGAATAATGAATTTTGAAATTAAATTAAGACATTAAAGAGCAGCCAGAAATTGATTCGTTCAATAAACTTTTATAATTTTCTTTTAAATTCCTTTCTTGAAATTTATTAAATGAAATTAAATTTTATGTTATAACTCTTTTTGCTGTATTTATTATTATACAAGCTAGATTGTTCCATCCCACGCAATTCACATTTAGAGCAGTGTTGCAGATAATGATTCTTTATTGGACATAATTTGAGTGAAAATCTAAATCAATCTATTGGTAACTTAATGCGTTAAGTTGTATAAGTTTGGTGCTCTTTATCCATTATTTGGATAAAAAAAATTTAGGAATTTAATTATTAACTGAATTTTCATTAATTTTCATAGGTAGATTTACATTTTCAATGCAAAATTGATATCAGAATTAATTGTATACAATTATTTGAACTTTTGGCTATTCAATACCAAGAAATTTTATCTTATAATTTCTTGTTTCTTCAAAGTTAAGATATTTCTAACCCATTTAATCCAATATTTTTCTGTATATTCTAATTATAAATTCTCCGTTAGCAAGTTTCTGATTGAGTTTCTATTTATAAAATTATTCAAGATTTAATTGAAAGATGGCATTAAATTTAAAAAAATTGCGACTATAAGGTATCAATTACTAAATGAGAGGTTGCAATTAATTATTTCAAAAATCCTTTTTTATGTAGGTATTATCGTATTCAATAAAATACAAATCAATATATTTATAAAGAGGGTAGAACTGCAAGAGCTGGAAAATACGGAAAGGAAATTAGTCTTGTAACCTAATATGATGTTCAAATGTATCAGAAAATAGAATTAAAAGAATTATTTGAAGTTGATTTGGACGATAAAAAAGTGAAATAAATCTACAAAAAATACAAAAAGATTCCAAATATAAAAAGTAAGAGTCAAAAAAGTTTAATTAGATTTTTGATTAGCAATGTTATCAACTTTTTTTGATAATTCAAATTCATTTTTATAATTTGTTTATTATGCTCTAATTTCTTAACCCGCCAATTATTTTTTTGAAAACATAAATATTATAATGAAAAATAACAAGAGAGGATTATTCATAGTTCTTGAAGGATTAGATAAATGTGGCAAATCTACATAAACTGAATTATTATGTGAAGCTCTTGAAGCAAAAAAAATGCAATTTCCAGACAGAAGTACTTCGATGGGTTCAATCATATCAGATTATTTGAAAGGAAAAAGAGATATTAATGATTAAGTGATTCATCTTTTATTTTCAGCAAATAGATGGGAAGCTTAGTATTAAATATAAAAATAATTAGAAATACCATAATCGAAACATTAAATAAAGGAATCAATATAGTTTGTGATAGATATGCATATTCTGGAGTGGCATTTTCTTCTGCAAAAGGACTTCCAATTCAATGGTGTAAGCAATGTGATTCAGGTTTACCAAAACCAGATCTAGTAATATACTTAAGAGCCCCAATCAAATAATTGAAGGATAGAGGTGATTTTGGAGCAGAACGATATGAAAAATAAGAATTTTAGTAATAGGTTTAAGAAGTTTTTGATAAAATGGCTCAAGAAGAATAATTTAATATTATTAATGCTTTATAAACCAAAGAGGAAATATTTATTCAAATCATGGACCTTATTAATGATTATATTTAGAATGCATTAATTAATACAATAGAATAACTTTGGAGCTGAATTGAGTCACTATACTTTATTTATTCCATTTTTAAATACATTTTTTTAAATTATTATAATATTTTGTAAAATTTTGAATTGGTAAACTAAAATAAGTCCTTTACCCTTCAATTATAAATTGTGATTATACATTATAAACATTCATAAATTTAATTTTAATTATTTTCATTTCATTTATTTTTTTATATTTTCATTTACTATTTTTTCATACTTGTTTTTACGCTAAGTGATTTATTCAATTTCTAAATAAACTAATATAAATTTAGAAAGAATAATGGAATTTTGATCTTAGATTTTTAATGAAGATATAAATAAAAAAATTTGACCATAGAGGGATTCGAACCCTCGCCCTTTTCGGACTGCTGCCAAGCAGCGCCTTCACCACTCGGCCATAAGATCGTATATTAAATACTTATAAAAATACATGATTATAAATTATATCACTTTCTAATTCTAATTTTTTGCATTATCTTGTCTAATTCTGAGGGATCCCATTTTCTTAGTTTTAATTAATTATATGTAATGGAAACCAACTAATGGTTATTAAAATTAGGACATTTATGATGAATTTTTAATCAATACCTACTAAATTTGTCTAATTCTATAAAAAAATAATTGATCCTGTATACTACTGAAGTGAACATCTTTCCAATAAACATTATAAATCTAAAATTATTCACTTCTGTAAAGACATTTAATAATTCAGCTACTATTAAACTACTAAATGTTACTGAAACTAAATAAAGAAATGTATTTTGGAAGACATCAAAACTATAAACCATAATAACAGCAGCTAAAATAATTGTTTAAATGATTAACTTAATAAACAGATTTAAATAACCAGAGCAAAAATTTCTTTACTGTTAACTCTCTGCCTTTTAGTAAAGCTATATATAGTTCTGTGTATTTGATAGCTTTTTCTTTAGTTACATCTTAATCAAAAATATAANATTATTATACAAGCTAGATTGTTCCATCCCACGCAATTCACATTTAGAGCAGTGTTGCAGATAATGATTCTTTATTGGACATAATTTGAGTGAAAATCTAAATCAATCTATTGGTAACTTAATGCGTTAAGTTGTATAAGTTTGGTGCTCTTTATCCATTATTTGGATAAAAAAAATTTAGGAATTTAATTATTAACTGAATTTTCATTAATTTTCATAGGTAGATTTACATTTTCAATGCAAAATTGATATCAGAATTAATTGTATACAATTATTTGAACTTTTGGCTATTCAATACCAAGAAATTTTATCTTATAATTTCTTGTTTCTTCAAAGTTAAGATATTTCTAACCCATTTAATCCAATATTTTTCTGTATATTCTAATTATAAATTCTCCGTTAGCAAGTTTCTGATTGAGTTTCTATTTATAAAATTATTCAAGATTTAATTGAAAGATGGCATTAAATTTAAAAAAATTGCGACTATAAGGTATCAATTACTAAATGAGAGGTTGCAATTAATTATTTCAAAAATCCTTTTTTATGTAGGTATTATCGTATTCAATAAAATACAAATCAATATATTTATAAAGAGGGTAGAACTGCAAGAGCTGGAAAATACGGAAAGGAAATTAGTCTTGTAACCTAATATGATGTTCAAATGTATCAGAAAATAGAATTAAAAGAATTATTTGAAGTTGATTTGGACGATAAAAAAGTGAAATAAATCTACAAAAAATACAAAAAGATTCCAAATATAAAAAGTAAGAGTCAAAAAAGTTTAATTAGATTTTTGATTAGCAATGTTATCAACTTTTTTTGATAATTCAAATTCATTTTTATAATTTGTTTATTATGCTCTAATTTCTTAACCCGCCAATTATTTTTTTGAAAACATAAATATTATAATGAAAAATAACAAGAGAGGATTATTCATAGTTCTTGAAGGATTAGATAAATGTGGCAAATCTACATAAACTGAATTATTATGTGAAGCTCTTGAAGCAAAAAAAATGCAATTTCCAGACAGAAGTACTTCGATGGGTTCAATCATATCAGATTATTTGAAAGGAAAAAGAGATATTAATGATTAAGTGATTCATCTTTTATTTTCAGCAAATAGATGGGAAGCTTAGTATTAAATATAAAAATAATTAGAAATACCATAATCGAAACATTAAATAAAGGAATCAATATAGTTTGTGATAGATATGCATATTCTGGAGTGGCATTTTCTTCTGCAAAAGGACTTCCAATTCAATGGTGTAAGCAATGTGATTCAGGTTTACCAAAACCAGATCTAGTAATATACTTAAGAGCCCCAATCAAATAATTGAAGGATAGAGGTGATTTTGGAGCAGAACGATATGAAAAATAAGAATTTTAGTAATAGGTTTAAGAAGTTTTTGATAAAATGGCTCAAGAAGAATAATTTAATATTATTAATGCTTTATAAACCAAAGAGGAAATATTTATTCAAATCATGGACCTTATTAATGATTATATTTAGAATGCATTAATTAATACAATAGAATAACTTTGGAGCTGAATTGAGTCACTATACTTTATTTATTCCATTTTTAAATACATTTTTTTAAATTATTATAATATTTTGTAAAATTTTGAATTGGTAAACTAAAATAAGTCCTTTACCCTTCAATTATAAATTGTGATTATACATTATAAACATTCATAAATTTAATTTTAATTATTTTCATTTCATTTATTTTTTTATATTTTCATTTACTATTTTTTCATACTTGTTTTTACGCTAAGTGATTTATTCAATTTCTAAATAAACTAATATAAATTTAGAAAGAATAATGGAATTTTGATCTTAGATTTTTAATGAAGATATAAATAAAAAAATTTGACCATAGAGGGATTCGAACCCTCGCCCTTTTCGGACTGCTGCCAAGCAGCGCCTTCACCACTCGGCCATAAGATCGTATATTAAATACTTATAAAAATACATGATTATAAATTATATCACTTTCTAATTCTAATTTTTTGCATTATCTTGTCTAATTCTGAGGGATCCCATTTTCTTAGTTTTAATTAATTATATGTAATGGAAACCAACTAATGGTTATTAAAATTAGGACATTTATGATGAATTTTTAATCAATACCTACTAAATTTGTCTAATTCTATAAAAAAATAATTGATCCTGTATACTACTGAAGTGAACATCTTTCCAATAAACATTATAAATCTAAAATTATTCACTTCTGTAAAGACATTTAATAATTCAGCTACTATTAAACTACTAAATGTTACTGAAACTAAATAAAGAAATGTATTTTGGAAGACATCAAAACTATAAACCATAATAACAGCAGCTAAAATAATTGTTTAAATGATTAACTTAATAAACAGATTTAAATAACCAGAGCAAAAATTTCTTTACTGTTAACTCTCTGCCTTTTAGTAAAGCTATATATAGTTCTGTGTATTTGATAGCTTTTTCTTTAGTTACATCTTAATCAAAAATATAAAAAAAACAGTAAATAGTGTTAAACTGTGCCATATTCTAACATCAACCAACCATTATAGATAGGAATAAATACAAAATATAAAACAATCGAGAATATGGTTTATCTAGAGACAATAAACTAATCCTCTATGCATGACGAATTAAGCCATTTCAGATATACTTTTATAAGCCAATCTACCATTCCATAATAATAAAACATCTAAATACTTAAACTTAAAACGGAAAATTCGCTTGCTAGAGCTACTTATTTGCTCACTAATCCGACTCCAACATCAGCAGCTTAAATCATAGCTACATCATTCCCACCATCTCCAAAACATAAAACTATCTTTTATGTCTGCTCTTTAATCAATTCAGTGACTTATGCCTTTTAGGTTGGTGAGAATCTCCAACAGACTACAGCAGGAGAATTACAAGCTACATGAAAAAATGCAGTATACTGAAACTCAAGAGAAACTTTTAAGGATTATTCATCTAAAACTAGAACGCTATTATTTTTTGGAGCAAATTAATTAAGCTCCTTTTTTAGGATTAAAGAGTCTTCTATATCCTTAATTACAAACATTTCTTAAGTAGGACTTTTCAATCCAGTTGAAATTGCTATACATTAAGCTGTTTCCACTTTATCTCCAGTTAACATCCAGATTTATATTCCTGCATTTTTCAAAGATTCTAATGTTGCATCAATGTCTTTCTAAAGCATATCTTCAACTCCTATTAATTCCAATAATTCCAAATCATTCTCATAAGAGTCCAAAAATTTTGAACAGCTAGCCCTCTTTCTCCCATTTAATTCTTTGCCTTCTCATATTAAGCAGTAAAAATTTTAAGATTATCCTCTGTCAAATATTTTTTAATTATAGGTTCGCAGGTAATTGATGCATTAAGAGTTGTTAAATTTTATTTTAACCAAAATTTTAAGTATGTCTTATGGCTTTACATAATTTCCAGTCTTTTTCTCCATTTAATTAATCTGCTCTAATGAAAACTGTTCCTGTTATATCATTTGTATTAAGCAAAATTAAATCGGCAGGTATTCTTTAATTTGCATGAACCTCAATAATGTCTCCAACTTTTAATTGCCAGCTTTATAGTTTTATTGTTTTATCTTTTTCGATCTAGGTGTATACTTGTGAATTTGCTTATTTATCTCTTTTATATCTTTAAAAATCATCATATGCTTCTATAAGTAATGTTAATATCAATACGAATGCAAATGGAGCAACATAACTAAATAAAAATCCTACTTTAAGCTAGGAATAAATTATGATAGCGTGATAACAAAATTTAAACTATTGATAGAGCACCATAAATGGCAAAATATAGTACTTTTGGTTTTTTACTATATTTTGCAAATTATTTTGAGGATAGACCTATTTAAATAAATGATCCTTTATTCAACTTCTTTATCAGATGAAGCAAATCATTAAATTAATTCTTAATTTTTTCGAAAAACCCTTCCATTTGTATTTTGGGTTCTTATGGTTCAATTTATTACTGTTAAAGGGGTTCCTGCCCATGATTATCAAATCGCAACCTTAAACAGCTTTATGATTGGTTCCAGTTAATTCACTCTCCATTAGGAAATTGAAATTTATTTTATATTAATCAGAAATAATTTTTTCTATGTTGAACACATCTTCAGGTTAAAGAATTAGATATGTTAAGGAAGCATCTGGAGCAAAGTCAACTACATAAAGTTTTAAATATAAATCTAAAGAGTGTGATTTATCAGCTAATGATAGCACTTCATCGGCTAATCTTAAACCTTTAATCTAAGTGTATAATCGAATAAATACAAATTAGCAAACAATCTTATAATTAGCATTTTGCCACAGCTTTACCTTTGCGAAAGTTAGCTAGTCCCTAAAAATAAGCCCCTGTCGATGGAAAAATTGTTGAGAGAACTTACTCATCTGTTAGAACAAGTAACTATGTAAAGAGATCATCTGTCGCTCCTGAAAAGAGAGTAGAAAATAGAAGTGTTATCTATGAAAAAAGATCAATAAAAATGCCTATTTGTTCTCCATCATCTACAAATGTAATTGAGGAGAAACTTGAAGATGATTAAATATAAGGCCAAGGCAGTGAAATATAAAGTTAAAAAAGAAGGAAAAGTATCACTTTTTTTGAGTTAACAGCTAATACTAATTAATAACAAGATAATTAGGAAATAATAGAAATGATGTCTAAATATTCAGAAAAAGAATTAGTAAAGTTAAATTTAAATTTAGAAACAAGTTTAAAATATAAGAGTGATAATTAATGGGCAATTTGATGAAAGAGAAATATATGTAGATATTAGCTCAATTCCTTTTGAATGGAAATTAGAATAAATTGCATAATAACTAAATGAAATCTACAAATCATAATTTAACTAAAGTTTACGTAATCCTGCAATTTCAGTTCTTATAGGAAAGATTTAGACTAAGAAATTAAGTAAGGAGATGAAAAAATATGAACTTGTTATAATGTCTTTAAAAGGACAAGTCAAAGAATCTTTGATAGTGCTAGAAGATAGTTCTTGATAATATATAGTAATACTGTAATTTTATAATTCAAACTTTTAATTAAAGAGTCTTTATTCACATTTATTCAATAGACCTTATAATTGAAGGTAGATCTATTTCCTTATTTAACCTTAAAATTTAGCCATTCTGATTGTCAATAAGTTGAATCCAATGTGGACATAATTTTATTAATTAATCAATATAAGTTTTTAATTAATTTTCATCTAGAATAAATTGTTTTAAACTATTTAAACTGTATTTCACTATGTTTGTTAAAAACATGTTTGATACATCTCTAATAAGAAAATATTAATGAATCAAAGAGGATATAGCTATTAATTACTTTTTTGGTGCTGAATGATCAGTTTGAACAATCTCTAGTTTCTTTTTTTATTTCAATTTTTCGATTAAATTTTAACTGACTTTAGAATATGTTGGCTCTTTAGATACTTGACTTTGAATTTCATGTTTTTAAGTTTATAGTTAGATTTATTTTGTTAAGGTATCTGTTGTTTCAGGTTTAGTTTGTAAATTTAAAAAAAATGGATTTTGAGGCAAAACTGCTAAACCAATTTGTTCTCCATTTTTTTATATGTAGTCAAACATCAATTATTTAAAATAATTTAATCGTTCTCCCAACTAAACATGGGATTTTATATTAGCCTTTATGATTAAATCACTCCTATCTAATCTGATTAATTTTTCATTCAAAGACCAATTAACATCATAAGCATTTGGAAATATTTCCAATATTTATTGAATAATTTATTAAGTGACTTTAATTTTAGAATTTTGGCTCAATAATTCTTAAATTGTATTTAAGAATGGCGGTTTTTGTTGGCTTTGGAGAAATAAAAGCATTTCATCAATTTCTTTGAAAAAGTGACACAAGCTGGAATATTTACTATGCATAAGCATTTTATCAATAGAAGAAATCAAATGAAGATTAGAGAATCTTTCCCTTAAGGATCCTTTAGCCAAAATTGAAGACACACTCTCTAATTTTAAAGGAGTCTTTTCTTTCTTTTCACTTAGTTATTTTGATTATAGGCTTTCAAAATACTCGATTCCATTAAAAGTTGAAGAATCCTCATTTAATTATTATACTAAGTTTAATGAACAAAATGTACTCTAATTTTTTACTCTTCTTTTTGGCTCATATGTGTCCTCAGGTTCTTTGTAATTGTTGTTTAATTTTGCCATTTTGATAACTATATAGTAAATAAAAATTTACCCTATTAAGGTCTTTTAGTTTCTTTTTAGTAATTGGTTTCCATCTAAAATAATTGTTAAATTTATTCAATTAAAATTTAATGTTTAAGTATTGTTAATAGAAAAAGAAAGGAAGAAATCATTGATTAAACAAAAAATAATGTCAGTTGAGGAATTTTTTTATATAGGGGAATATGAAATTTCAAATGATTTTTAGAAAATGAATTTCACACAATAAAAGGAAACTATACACAAGTCTATAAATATTCGATTCATTAGTCTATCTTTTGAGGTATCTTAGTAATAAGAGTTTATAGTAAGTGACAAAAAAAAATACTAGATAATATTAGGAAATTATAAAATCATTTAGAGGAACTTTGAAATTGAAAATAGTATAAGATTATTTAGTTAGAACGCAATGTTTAAGAGAAAGAATTCATTCAGTAGCAATATCAGGTAATTTATTTGAAGTGTTAACCTAAAGAGAATAAGGATATTTTGTTTTAAACAGTAAGAACCAATTAGCACGATGAAGATTTAATCAAACGTATAAATTAATGTAAAAAAATTTGTGAAGAAATTTAAAGATTGCAGGAGGAGAATGATAATCTATAAGTGGCATTAGAAGCCGAAGTGAAACATAAGAGTTCTCTTTAAAAACTAAAATAATCAAAATATATAAAAGATGGTAATACGCATATACAATTATCACTTGAGCATAACTAAGAACTTGAAACCATTTAAATTAATTTAATTTATAATTTTTCTGTTGAATTAGAAAGTAGGGTGTTGTATGAAAAGATTAAATAAGATTAAGATTAAAAATAAAAAGATTGCTAAAAGAGAATTAAATTCCATCTATAGCAAAAAACCAAAAAATATGAATAAAGAGAAGGAAAATTGTAATTATTTGAATTAAAAGAACAAGATATAAAAATACGATAAAGAAATTAGAATTTGATTTGTGATCAAGCAAATAACATTTGTCGGAATAAAAATTATATTAATAATGAAATTAGCAAAGCTAATTCTGAGCTACATGAGTTGAAACAAAAACTAGAAAAATTAGAATATTAGCAAGATTAGAGAGAAAAACTTTTAAATTAATTCAATGTGTAACAAAAGTAGCTCAAAATTTAGTAATTAGAATTAATTAAATATGATCAACAAAACACAATAAATATATTGGAAAAGCACATATTATTAAAAAAAATAGAAAAATTGATTAAGTGGAAACATAATCCATTATTAGCATATCAGAATTGGAAAAGATTGTAGAATAGCTGAATATAAAAAGAGAAAATGATAAAAAAGAAATTTCAGAATTATCTATTAAATTGTAGAAGGTGCCCTTAGATATAATTAGAAGTACATGTAGTAAGCACTAGGCTAAATCCTCTAATATTGGATATAATATATAAAAGAGTTGCTCCTATTTTCAACAATTAAACAAATACTAAGTGATGTCCAAAAAAAAGAAGATAGCAGTTATATATTATACATGCAAGTAATTGTGACAGAATTCAAAAACCAAAAAGAAATAATTGCCTTGTAAAGTGCTTGAAATGATGTTTCAATAATGAGTTAAGATATTCTTGATCTTCTTGAATTAATGGGATTAATTTGAATTAGAATTAGTTGTAATTTTTGTTATTAATTATACTTACCATATGTATTCAATATTATTGGATTCTATAAATAATATTTTTTTCATTTAATTAAACTCATTAGATTCTTCACCTTCTCAATTTCAGTAAACAATTCATTAAATTATGCTAATGTTAATTCAAAATGAGTAGTTTCTTCAATCATATTTTTATCAATTGTTTTGATCTTAAGTTATAAAAAGCAATCACTATAGTTTTCTTTAGAACTATTAGCAGTAGCAACTGAAATAATATTAATTATAAACTTGAAAATCTCCATTCTACATCCAACATTTTTTTATTGGCAATAAATTCTTATATGCTCATAAATTGTAATTAATTATAATTAATATATGTAAATTTTAAGATTCGATAAGTTAGTTAAAAAAAGTTCATAAATATAAGAGCTTTGCAGATCTCTGATTTGTTTAGAAATATTCATTTTTATCCAATTGGATGTGAAAGTTGTCCTAATTATTTTTCCGTGTTAAATCATGTTAATATAATTGTTAAATGTGAGTAAGAGGGATTTGATATAGATATTCTCTTAAAAAAGAAAAATCATCATCATAATATTTACCTTTTAAACTTTGATTATGTAAATGTGTTCAAAAGAGATATTATGGAAAAAATTAGAACAATATGTATTAAATGAATGTTTAAAAGAAAAAGTTCAGCCTGGCAAATGCTCATTTGAAGTTTTAAATTCTAATTATGCAAATCACATAAATAATCTTCTGGAAATAATTGTTTTTTAATGTATAAATGCTAGTTATTTTTATTGAATATAAAGTTGAAAAAATGAATTTCCTTAAGTTATCATCTAGTGTTAAAATTTAAATGATGTAAGATATGCAATCTTTTGAATTTATTGAAATTGAATGCTAAAATTTTCAATGATTAATATAGAGAAAGGATTATAGCATAGCATAGCAAACTGCTTAAAAACTATAAAATTAATTATTAGTTTTGAATTAAATTTTCCAAATACTTTACACATAAAGAATTGGTATTATTAATAATCGTAAAATTTCAATATTAGATATAAATGGTACCTAAAGTTGGATAGACTGATTGCTTTTAAATATTCTAAAAATAAATCTATTGAAATTGAATTTTCATATCTCAGATTTAAATGTGGATTTTAGAATTACAACAAGACAAAATAAAATGAATCAGAAGGATCATTCAAAACCTAATCATAAATCTTGTTGATTTGTGCAAATGACATAGTACAAATAAAAGAAAGTAAAGAATCAAATGCAAAAAGGAATTCGTTTCTTTATTAGCCAGAAGTTAGAAATACCTAAGAATAATAATTGTAAACAGAAGAAAATCCATTACCAAGTAATATCTTAAGTATAATATTTCTTCCAAATACTTTGATAAAGATCAAACTGACCTCTATACTGTTCTTGTTTAAAAATTAATTAAGATAAAGCTCGCATTTTAAATTGAAAATTAATTATATTTAAGATCAAACATATAAACTCATAATTGTTAATCTTCTTCATCATCATCTTCCTAAAACTCCATTTAATTATATTTATTGATATTGGGATTTTTTTCTTCAGAAGTTAGCACTCTTCTAATGGCTACATAACCTATTAAAATCACAACTATCAAAAATCCAATTACTATAATATATAAAAGGATTTCGTTCAAATTGAATGATTTTGGACATTAAGTTTCAATTGGTCCTAAATCTAAACTGATTTAATTATACAAAAATATACCCTCCTAAACATTAAGTTAATTTGATGTATCCTTGAGTTTTGAAAAATGTTTTTCCTGGTTCACAATAATCAGAAATATTCACAATAGGTAAACAATCTCCTCCCTCTAATAGACTAGCATAGCCTGAAGCGCATATCCAATCTTCCCTTTTACAAGGGCAAGGTTCGATTATTTTTTTGGTTATCATCTATTTAGGGTTAAAACACTATGAATTTTCTTTTTTTCTATAGTATTTTGTTTAAGAACCATCGATACATTTTGAGTTCCAGATATCATAATCCAAATTAGATTTACACTCTCTTGAAAAAATATCACTAAAATCTAATTTTAAAATTATGCCTTCCCCTTTATCGGTTTTACCATAGATGAGAAAATATCTAACGGTTCCAGATGCTTCAGTCACTAAATTTTAGGCCATGAATAAATCATCATAAATAATTTTTGTTTTCCACGTTTTCCCATAGTCAATTGAATAAATAATTTCATTAGTGGGTTCAAAATCTTTGGCCATAACAATAACTCCTCCAAAATCGGCGATTTCAAAGACATGAGATCCTTTTCTCACTTCAACCCAATTCTATCCTCCATCTGCTGACATATATGTATTTTATTCTTATGCTATAAATAATCCAACATTTCCGACACCTAAAACAATACCTGGTGCTTGATCTACTGTATAAATAGTTTATCGATAAGATTCAGTTCTTCCAACAAAATGTAAAGAGCATTCCCCTCCACACTCAATGATGTTCCCTTCTGAATCATATTTTGGAGCCTTTATTTATTCCCATTTCTTTCCTCCATTAAAACTTATTATTGTTGATTTATCTTTCTAATCTCTTTAGTCATAAGTATTCGCAACATAAGTTGAAGTTAAGCCTAAAAGTTTTTCAAAATCACAATTTCCATCTTAAGTAGATCTAACATTATTTGTTAAAACAATTTAAAAGTCTTATCCTATTTAATTACTAATATAAACATTAGTTATTGATTATTCTTATTAATAATGGGAAACAGATAAGTATATCCTACCATTTTCGGTATCTAAGACAGTGTACGAATATTCTTTTAAAATTTATAATGGTAACTCCACTAATTTCTCTTAAAATTCTTCCAATTTAGAATGACCATAATGTAATTCATATCCTCCATTACTGGAAGATGTTAATATAAAAAGGTATTTAGTGGTTTAATAGTAACCTTAAGCACCAATCATTAAAGTATGATAATTCGTAAAATCATCAGAGTAGATCAATTATGTTTGATTTTCATAAGAAAATAATACAATAGACCTTTCATCTGGAACTGTAATGTCTTCTATGATTTTATCCCATGATGCATCTCTACAATTTTTAAATGATGGTAACCAAGTTTTTGCACCGTCTTCAGAATAAAACAATTAATTATTATATGGTTCTCTACAATCCATGTAAAAATGATCACATTATTATTTTTTAAATGCTAGCATCCATTTCCAACTCATTTTATTTAATCTAAACCCATAAAAGCCATCAGTGTCAATTTCCTCAAAATTTTCCCCACAATCATTTGTTCTATAGCTTTTCTAACCATTTTGACCAAATAAAAATATGACACGTGAATCTGCAGGAGAAATTTGTATATCTTCAAATAAACCCTCAATTTAATTCCAAACAGTTCCATTACTTTAATATATATGATGAGCTTCTGTAATAAAAAAAATTGTCTTTTCTTCTTCCAAACCTTGAAATTAAGGTATGGTTTCATCTTCTCTAGTGTATATTATGGAAGCTCCACACCAAGCTATTTATGAAATAGGCCTTTCTATAATTATTGCACAAGTGAAGAGAAGTAGAAAAGGTAAGAAACGAATTTCCAACATAATCGTGTTTAATTTTAATAATTATAATTCAACAACATTGTGAACTTTTTTTATTTGTATTACCAATTACTTAAGTTGATGTAATCTATCCTATTTTCATATTTTAGCCTGATTCTGCTTTTATAGAATTTTAACTTTTTTCTAAAACATTTTTTGCAATTGTCAAAAAAGATTATTCAATATTGGTTGATAATTTAGCTGATGTTTCTATAAATTATAATTTCAGTTGTTTTGCTTAAATTGATAAAATTGGTTACCTAATGCTTCACCCTCTTCATATGATACAGCTCTTTTATCCTCCATATCACATTTGTTTCCAACTAACATTCTTATCACATCTTCTTGAGCATATCTATGTAAATTTAATTAGTATACTTATCAATTTCAGACATCCACATTTTCACAGAGTCAAATGATTCTCTGTCTGTTATATCATAAACAATAATTATCCCATGTGCTCCACTATTTTTAAAATAATTATTACCGATAATAACTACATGTGATCGTTCTAAATCTGTCTTAACCTGCTGTATCCCACTAAGAAAATGAAATATAATTTTACAATTTACAACTTGATATTTTTATTCTCTAAGAATATCGATTTGATTTTCTAATTGTTAAAATAATAAATTACAAAATCCACTCCTATTGTGTTATAAAAATTGTTTGTAAAATTATTATCGACATATCTCATTAACATGCAAGATTTTCCTACTCCACTAGTACCAATAAGTAATAATTTAAATAAGTGATCGCTAAATTTGTTAAATAATTCTACTATTCAGTGCTTTCTTTATTTTACATTTCTTTAGGTTTATTCAGAAAATTTAATTTTAAAAATAATACAATTATAATTAATAATATTCCTTATTTTATATTTATGTTTGTTTTAATACTGTTCTTTCACCATTTTATCATCTCTCTTTTCAAATAGTTAAATAGTCCAAAAGGAATTAATTATTTAAAATTCTAATCTATATTAAAATCTTTACTTCATAATTATCTTCTCTAATTCTGAAAATCTCTTCAATTACTGTTAGTAACATAAAGAAGTCTCCAAGAATCTCTGGCTGCTTTTGTAGTTCTTTCGATTATAACATAAAGAAGATTGTTGATTTTATGTAAAATCTATATAGTTTATAATAATCTACCCTAGATATGAAACAAATAGAGAGGAATGCAATTAATTAAATTGGTTCAAAAATCCGATGATTCCCATCAATAAACAATTTGGCTCATATTATAATTGATTATCCTTTGCTTTCTTTACTAGGCAATTCAATTTTTGATCAAAATCCATTAAAGGTAATTAATGTAAAACTACTAAAGCTAAAATCAATGGAGTATGTCTAATAATATTTAGTATATTTATACTCAGGCATTTCGCATAAAGCATATATTTTTCTTATAGGATCAGATAATCCTACATAATTAAATAACTTTGTTAGATCAAAAAGCAAATTATTTTCCATTTAAGTTTTAATATCAGATTCCATAGAAGAATCATACTAACGATTTATAAAATCATTAATTATGGTATTATTTAGAGTTTCTAAACATAAGAATAATTTGGTCGATCCTACTTTTGCCTTCATTTATAAAACTAGGCAAATTAGTTTTCTTAAATTAATGAATTATCCTATCTATTAGAGAGGATAAAGGATTTTAGAGATAAGAGGTCTAAATTGTTTTGTCAATTATTTATAAACCTTATCATAGTTTTCATCATAATTTGTAAATAACCTAACTTATTTAATTAGAGTATCAATAGTATTCCTATTTTCTTGGTTTAAATCAGCCTTTAATATTTTCACAATATCTTTAACTGTTTTTGATAAATGTTAACTAAGTAGTAAATCAATTCCATTCAATCCACTAACACCTATACACTTTAATATTAATCCAATAGTCTTAAGATTTAATACATCTCTTCCGTTGCTATCATAAAATCCTAATGTTGATTCTACAAATACTATTTCTCTAGGATTAGTAATCAATATTATTTAGTTCAATAGTCTTCCAATAAAATTTATAGCACCATATTACTTACTTTTTTCATCTGGCATTGGAATATCTTCATCGTAACTTAATTCTTCATACTCTTTATTTCCAGTAATCAAACCTTTAAGTTCCATTGAAGTGTAGCATTCAATTAATCTATTAAATTCTTCAGTAAACATCTTTAGCCCTTTTGCATTAACAAAATCTTAAATTTATTCCATAGCTAGTTTGAAGCCATTTATCTCCTCTCCTAATTTTGATAATTTAGATTAGAAATCTGAAATATCTTTTTTGGGAAAAATCAATTAAGAATCAAGGATTTTATGAATTAATGCCATTAATTCTTTTCTAATTCCCTGATCAAGCATTTCTCTGGGATTCACTTCTATTGATCCTAATAAATATGGATCAACTGTTAAAATCGATTCAGTAAAGACAGATATTGAATTTGTTAATTTTGCAATTTGTGTTCTATCTTCATATTATGCATAATCTTTCAATTCTATTTTATTAATCCTAGAAGGAAGTGGTTTTAATACTGATGTAATTAAAGTAATAATATCTTAAAGTACTTCGAAAACTTAAATTGGAATAATTTAAAGCACTTCTTTGACAAATTTTACAAGTTCACCAGAATAGTATTTTGTGACACTATTTAAATCTGGACTTCCAGCTTAGATAATACGAATAGTAGGGGTATTTAAAATTGAAGATAACTTCTAGAAAGTAGTTTTTAGACTGAGAGCAGAATGAGGATTACTCTAAACTTTAGCTTACATCAAATCCTTGTATCCTTTTAAGCATTACCATGAGTAACTGAAATCTGCAATATATGAAATATGTGAAGGTAAAGTACTCTTGATATGAACAATTTTGACCATATGTGTTAAATCTTTCCTTGTTTCATTCAAATAATGCTTAACTTATATAGATGTAGAAATTTGAGGATATTATTCTATATCTTCTAATGCTTAAATTAATCTTTAAATTTTTCTTCCAGCATGAGTACTATCACTATAATTTAAAGATTATATTTAATTGCCCATTTCAGTAAACCATTACATATAAGATTCATCTGCTTTTACTTTTCCCAAAGCCTTTCCACTAAAATAATCAGCTAATTCTTGCATTCTCTCAACACATTTAACTTTATCTTCATCCCAGTACTATTATTTATTATCAATGATGGCTTTAATAGCTTTCAATAAACGATTTTCAAATTTTGAGCTTTATAAAAGTAACTATAAAACTTCTTATTTATCAATCTTATTTAATAAGTCTCTTGCTTTTGAAATACTAGTATTAGAATGCAGTAAAATCCATCGAATGGCTATATTACTTTCCCTAACACAATTCATTAAAGATGTTATCTTGTCAAGAACAAATTCTTAAGTCATTTATCCTTCATAAAGGTACTCTTAGACTTTATTTATCTATTCTGTTAGTTTAGTTTAATAGAAAGCTCCTAACTCTTAAATATAATCGAAATTAATGGTGTTTTTTATTGCTTCTCGAGCTGCTGGGTATGGATTCCATTATTCAGATAAATCGACAAAGTAACCCAAATAAAATGATATTACCCATTAATCATAAAAATGTTTGTCAACAATTTCTCTCATTTTAGACTAAATGCTAATAATTTTTAGATACCTTTTTATTATTTAAAATAGTTGGAGTGAAAAACAACAATACATATAACATTGATCCCTATACTGATAAAGCGATAGATCTATGATCAGCTGATGGATATATGCTAGTAAATTTATAGATATCTTCATCTTTGATAGAATTAATGACTTCTGTTATCAGTTTTTCTGGTAATTAAAATCTAGCCATATACTCTTCAGGATAAAAGGCAGGGCGAGTTCCATTTTTTGTATATCCAGTTTCAGCACATAGTTTAGTCACTTCATTAATGAACTCGATTGCTGTTTAGCCTCCCTTATATCTATAATAGGAAATGATAAGCTTTTCTCTTGCCTTACCTGGAATTAAGATATCCATTAATAATAGCATGCATCCGTATAAATAAAATGATTCCGCAAATAACCTTTTTCCTTCTGGATCTTACAATACAGTCTCAACAGAATATTGCATAAAAACTGCTTCCTCTAATTCTTGTATAAATGCCATCAAGTCTGAATAATACAAATAGATGCTTTCAAATAATCTATAAAATCTTTCTACTAATGGTAAATAAGATTTCTTAAAATTTTCATCCAATTCATTAATATCCTACTTAAGATTATATAATACTTAGTTTCTTTAGATCTCATCTTCAAGAACATCAATGTTTTTTAAGTATTCAAAGTCAAATAAGATTTTCTCATATTTTTTATATTCTTATGCTTTGCTAGTAATAATCTTTGGTATGTTTTCAGAGAGTCTCTAAACTTCAGCTAAGATGGCACTTCCTCTTGCAACCAAAATCAAAAGACTTTGTCCACAAGCATTGTCAGGTGATAAGAAATCCATTTATAAATAATTATATGTTTTCTCTTATATATGGATTTAGTTAAATTCATAAATAAATAATCTATATATTTTTCAATCACATAGTTTTTTATTAAACCATGAGAGATTTGTTTAAAATAATTAATTCTCATTTTAGTGACTCTTTTTAAATGCGAATAAATTAAACATAGTATAAATATATATTCTATGTTGAAAATAATTATAAAGACTTCTTCCAAAAAAATTAAATAAAGAACTAAAATGCTTTGTTTAATTTTATATATCGAAAATGCAAGTGAAGATATATTATTATGAATTAATAATAAAATATTAACAAATGAGTATTCCCAAAGCAAATCAAATCATCATTCAATATAATAAGACAAATCATCTAAAACCTCCTGAAATCTAAAGTATTGTTTTATTCTTTTTCTTTATTTAACCCACTTCTTTCATTTATGTATTTTTTTTCTAGTAAATAATTTTATTAATTACTGGTATTATAGGATTACTATCCCACTCTGTTTCTTCATTTTTAAGAACAGATTTATTATCAGTTAAGGGAACAAAACTATCATCCTCTTAAAATTATCCATAATTAGATTTTACATTTTTTTGAAGAGATTCAGCTAAGTATAAAAATTTAAAGTTATACTATTATTAGAAGCAAGGCTTGGAAATTAATCTTCAATTATGGATGGATTTTAAAAAATTGCTGCTCCACTAGTTTACCATTTACCAATTGCTTGATTTTATTATTATTTTTATTTAGATTTCTTTTCTTGTTTATACTATTATTGAGGAAGTTCAATTTATTTTGAATTTGATTGTTTCTCAACATTTTATTCTTACTTTTCAGCTTTAGCTATTAATATAAAAATTAGAATTACAAAGTGAAGGAAAATCAGCTGGATTCATTTCTATTCCATTTCTATTAAGCTAATTATGTTATTTTGATAAAAATTATTGTCTATTAGCTTCAATATTATCTGGTTTTTTTATTAAACTATAGAGTTTCTTGTTATTCTAAAAAAATTCTTAATAAACACATTCATTCAAATCTTTCTTTTCTTTGTGAATTTGTTCACCTCTCAAAATCTTCATACTCAAATTTACATAAAGATAAAATGGAACTAAATCATGATTTGATATGGATGATATATGTTCTAATTGATAAAATATAAACATCTTACATTAAATTTTAGAAAAATCATCTAAAAGAATTTTATGTTTAATATGTTCTAGTACTTATGTACTGAGACCAAAATTCAAAGCAAATTTAAATTTTCCCATTTCAGAAGTTTTGACATGTCTAAGAACCTCAATTAATTAAAATATTCTTTCTTTTGGCATTATAGTATCTTAATAATTAACCAAATCACCATCTTCAATTCTTTTAATTAAATTTCTGTTTAATTCATCCAATAATTTAATAAATAATTCTGAATAAGTCTTACAGATCATTATTATTGGATTATTTCTTCTTGGTAGGGCTTTCAATTCTTTTAGATATGCATCATCTAAAATTTTCCAAAATGGTTTGTTATCTCTAACATCTTTCATGGCCATATAAAATGTTATTAATCTTAATCCTGTTTTAGGTTCAAACATATTAATAAAGCTATTTACAAAATTTTCAGCACTTATTTTTTCTGATTCAACTAGCTATATTTATTTTCTTAATATTTCATCTTTATTTTTCTATCCTTTAAAGAACTAAGAGCATTTAGTTAAAAAAGATTGAAATTTCATATGAGGAAGTGTATGTGGTTTAATTAATTGTAAATCCTCTAGACATAAATTTTATTATGAATGCAATTTTTCACTTTAATCACTAAGTTTATCTTATTCATCATTATAGTCTGCATACATGTATTCTCTAAAATCAATATTTTCATCTTTGTGTTGATCAATTTATACTACAGCTCTTAATTTAGTTTATTCAAGAGAAATAAACTGATCTGTAAAATCTTCTCCTTCTTTATCATTAAGTTATTTTTTTTATTTTGGATCTTCATAAAATCCTGCTATTTATTATAAATTTAAATTAGACATCTTTTTAATTCTTGGGTCATTGCAATGACTCTATTATTTATGCATATCTAATTCACATGATGTTTTAAACACCACCAACATTTATTTACATTCTGGTTCCTCACATAAATAATGTGAAAACTTTAAATGCCTTTCATAACTTCCATGATCTTTATAAAAAGTGAATTTCTAGTCTTCACATAAACTACAATTTATATGGGCAAGATTTAAATGTTCTTTAAATTTTTCTTCATCATAAAAATGTTTCCTACAAAATTTACAAAATGGATGTTTAAAAATGATATTTGAATCTTCATCAACATCACCATGATTAATATGATGTCTAACTTAATATTCTGAGTATAATTATTATTCTCCCAAAAAACATGTTTTCTATTCAATACATACATCACTAATAAAATATAATTAATATTCTTACCAATAGAAACGCATATGTTCGACTTTTAAGTGTAATTTCAATTAATTGAAGTTATTTATCTTTAAATCTGTTTGGCAATCTACAAATGGACATTTAAAGTTGTTTAAACTCTCAATTTTTTCCTTAATTTATTCTGAATCTGTAAAGAATACATCTTTCGAATCTTTCTAGAAATGTTTAAAATAAAGATAATTACTGAATAATTGATTGGGATTAGATTATTGATAGAATAATCACTATATTAAGCTTAGAGGTTATCAGTGAGAATTAATTTATCTAAGATTTGTTTACATATAGGGCATGTCTTAATTTTGCGAATGACTCTCATTTTAATCATACATTAGTAACAGAATGTCTTATGATTACAGTGACCTAATGCTATGATTTCAGCATCTTAAACACAGAGTATACATTCAGCCTCCACTTTATCCATAATTAATTAAAGAAATAAATATTAAAGATATGAGTAATTACACAACAATTAGACACGAATCATTTGTAGAAGAACAGAAATAAGTTACTCTTCCATAAACTCAATATGTACTATAACTGTTGTTTAATTGAAGACTACAAAATATACTAGATCAGAGAGACCATAAACATATTAATTTTGGCATAAAAAAGGAAAATAAAATTCTTACTCAAGCAGAGTGTTAAGCACAAATTACTAATTGTAAGCTTAATAGATCCCAGGATAATCTATATTACTTGGAGGTTGTGGTTAGACTTAATAATGTTGTACTCCTTGTGGTCAATCATCTTGTGGTCCATAATAATAAGCAGTAGTAAGATTGGGAGTAGTATCAAGAGAAGAAATTGAAGCACCTTGGAGAGATGAAGTGCTATATTTATAATCACTTATTGCAGAATTAGAAAAGAAGAAAGAAGTGTAAATAGTAAAAGAGATGGATAATACAAGAGTAAATGTTAAATTTAAATTTTAGGTTCATGAACTAGAAGATGAGAATGAAAGATTAAGAATCTTAATTCAGTAGACTAAAAGTGAAGTTATAACATAAAGAATTACAGAAGTAAATAATGAGGCTGAAGTGTGGAAAAAGAAATTTTAAGAAATCAATCATGATTATAGTGAGACTTAAGAAAAATTAATGAATGCAGAAATTGAACTAGAAGCTTTGAAAAAGTAAAAGGTATTAAAATTAGATGTATTAAAGATTGTAACTACAAGTAGTACAGTAACTAAATCAGTTGTGAAAAGTTCAGGTTCAACTGTCAGATAGTCGGTATCTGGTATTAAGCCTATTGTTTGATTTCATTAAAATCATTAATAAAAATATAAAATAAATAAGAATGTAAACACCAGAGCCATAGACAATGCATTACAAAATCAGAAGTAGAAGTCGTGATACTTCCAAACTAAAGTGATTTAAGCAATTTAAAGTAGATTGATGGCTAGATCAACTACAGATAGTAGTAGCAGTGGAAGTAGCAGCAGCTCTTCTTCTTCTAGTTCATCAAGTAGCAGTAGCTCATCTGGAAGTTCTTCAAGTAGTGGATGCCATTTCCATTATGTAATCGGAGACAAAATTGACAAATATGTGATAACGAAATATTTATGTTCGGGCACATTCGGAATGGTGTTGGAAGTGATTGACGAACAGGGAATACCATATGCTGTGAAAGTTATTAGATTAATATTCAGATCTTGAGCGAAACTGATCATACAGAAGTGGATGTCTTAAGAAAAATCTAGTTACTTGACCCCTTCGGTGAGGCGGGTATTGTCAAATTCTATGATTACTTTACTTGGTAGGACTATCATTGTATTTTACTTGAAAGGGTAGCATATTCAACAATTTAAACAGCTTGACATTAATCTCCATGACTATATCCAATCACATTCATTCAACATTAAGGAAATCCAATCAATCTTTAAATAAGTTACTACCTCACTAATGTTAATGCATTCCCTCGGAATCACACACACCGATCTAAAGCCTGAAAACATTGTTTTTGCCAATCAACAAAAGTACCCAGATCAATTAAATGACTAAGACATTTAGTTAAATTAATAGACATGGGAGGTGCCACTTAAGCCAATGAACATCATAGCACAGTCATCAATACTAGATAATACAGAGCACCTGAAGTCATAATGAGATGCGACACCTGGGATACATCAAGTGACATTTGGAGTCTAGCATGCCTTATTGTAGAATTATACACTGGTATATACACAAAACAAACCTCAATATAGGAAGAGTTTTTATTAAAGTAGGCAATAACGATTTAATGCATTTGGCTATTATATAATCTATCTTTGGACCAATACCCTCGTACATGAAACAACGTTCCAAATTTAAAACCAGATTTAATTCCTTACCTAAAGTATAGCCTTAAAAATAATTATATCAAATTATCGAAGATCAAGATCTACTTGATTTACTTTATTTGATGTTTTCAATAGATCATCATCATAGAATAAATTGCAAATAAATTCTAGAACATAAATTCTTTTAAAAACTATTTTGATATTTTGATTTATTTAATTTGTTTAATTAACTTCACTTAATTCTGAAAAATATTAATGGTGCGTATTAATTTTAAATTAAAATATCATTTTCATAATTTTGGTTTAAATCTTTAACATTTTTAATCAAACATGTCTTATTCATGCAACAGTAATTTAAATTAATATTGAAATACATTTTTACTTAAATTGCACGAATATGTAGACTATTGAATATCATCCAATTACAAAACTTATTTTAAATGGGGACACAAGCCCTGTAAATGAAGATGAATAAAAATATGATCTTCCTCTAAAACGATTTTCCAATCCTCAAATTGCTCTTGAAATCTCTAAAAATAAAACATAAAGAAGAAAGAAAAGCATATAAATTTTCACAGATGAGCTTATTACTTGGAATAATTATCTACACCATAAATTTTAACATCCAAATCAAGTATCTCATGGAAATGGTATGATAATATGAAATCAATCATTAAGACACTATGACTATTGATTATATAAAATGTTTATGTTTAAATATATATAGTTGATACAAAAATTATTGGCCAATAATATTCAGAGAATTTACAGCTACAATTCTTGACAATAAATATTAGAATTTATTCTGTCAAATAACTACCTATTAATCTAAAAAGTCTAAAGAAATTACACTTAATATTGAAATCATTAAGTTAACTCTATAATCTCTTATAATAAAGATGATTATACTCATTATTGTGAATTTTTATATTATTCAATAAAACCTCTTTAACTTCTATTTTCATTGTTTCATCGATTTTCTAAGTATTATTAATTAACTGATATATATAATATTTAATAATTTAATCGGAATAGCTTCTGTTTTGTAAGTTTGTAAGAGCTTGGAATCTAAGTGTTATTCTTAAAAACTTAAAGTATCTTTTTCTCCATATTGAGGTAATTAGATTTTAAATACTAATTATTATTATATTAATAATTATAAATATTCTAATGAATCTTTGAAATAACTACAAACCTTGTTATGAGCTTTAAATTGTTAGATTACAAAGTTTTTCTATTCAAAGATTATAGTATATTTAATAACAAAATTTTATGGTTTAAGCCCCATAATATTTGCTTCTTTGTTTTTATCTTCTATTGATCTTGTAATAATTTTTAGAGAGTTATACCCAAGGTTAATTCTGAATTTTACAATATGTAATACTATCTAAATACACATGCTAGTTTAGATTTAGAATCTATAGATGCTGATGTGCATATACAAATATTAAATTTATTATAATATAATCCATGTGGAAAAATGAATGGTGACATAAGAATTATTAGAAATTTTGGGATAATAATTAATATAGATAATACAATTAGATCACTTTCAAATAAAGCAGTCACTATTTACTTACATAATATCATATAAATTTTTGTTTATCCAATCTAAATCAAAATATAAGTAATAAATTTAATATAATCATGTAATAAATGGTTCAAAATAATTAATTAAATTTAAGAAAGTTTTCTAATTGCAGAATACCAAGATACCATAAAGTTAATATATATCTGTTAAGATTTCTAAGTCATTAGTTAGATAATCCTAAATAGCAATATGTTTATTTTGTTAAAATATACTTATATAAATTCTCCTAATAAATAAAGTGATTAATTAAAAATTAACACTATAAATCTTGATCAATTTACAAGGTTTTTTATTTTTTTTATAAAAATTATGTGTTATGTGTTCATAAGAATGGCTTGAGTTTGATAAGTCATTCGAAACGTTTCTAATATCTTAGATATATAGATTTATTATTGATTATAGAATGGAATTTAATAATAACAACCATTTTTCTTAATGAATGTTAAATAATAAATTATTTTTAAGATCAGTAAATCAGTAATTATATTTATTTGATATTAAGATACAAATAGATAAAGAGGTTCTACCTATTTTGTATGCAATTTTAATTCTAAAAAAAAGATAAGTTATAATAAATACAATGAACAAAGATATTGATTAGATTATTTAAACAAATAATAAATGATGCTTTAAACATAAATGATGAGCTAGGATATTGAACCAATTATTATATAAAAGTTATAGGATTTATCAATTTTCAAAATGAATTTACAAAATTGTCTATGTATATAATCTTTTTATGAAAAATATGTTGTTCTAAATAAAAACTAATTAGTTGAAAAAAGATTTTCTTTATTATACCCGACAAGATAAGATCTAATAAGTTTGAGAATGTGATATTTAAAGTGAATTTTAATTTTTTTAATAAATTTATATAAGAAGCTTTGATTTAATAATAATCTATAAATTATATCTTCTAATATTAAATCAGTTTTAGATTTTAGAGAATAAAATAATTATATTATTCCACTATTTGTTGATGGAAAAAATAACTTTGTCACCAATTCATTTGCTAAAAAATAAAGGAGATATGTCACCAAAATCAAACGATGATAATATTTTATCAGAATAAAAAAAAATTTGGTAAAACAAACAAAGCCCACTTAAAAAAAATTCAAATTAAGGTGATTAGAGGTAGAAAGCATTATTATAATGCGATTTTATTTTACTAACAGATAAATTGCATTTATGGAACAGATATTTGATCTCTAAATTCGAGAAGATCGATTCTATTTCTCATTCCTGATTATCTAATTTGAAATTTATTTATATACTATAATATTTACTTATTATATTCTTTAATTTTTTAGTCATACACAAAATTATAAGTAGTAATGGTTTTTTAGGTAAAGGTTTAGATAATAGTGAATAATCATAATTATATATTAATTGTTCTCTTATACCTACTTGTTTGAAACTATAAAGGTATTTATTTGATGCTTCAGCAAATTTAATTTTAAGGAGAGAATTTAATTTAGAATAATGTATAAACATATTAAGAACAAAGAATTTTTAATTAAAAATAAAATGAAAATATTTTTGCCCGATTCATTAATTGATAGCTCCTTGTTTTTTTAGAATTGAGTAAATCTAAGGTCCAGCCTCATCTCTTAATCCAAAATGACCTACAGATGGACTATTGAATAAAATCTCCTCATTCTCATTTTTAATTCTAGTTGTATATTTTCCCCAAACAAGATTATTTCCTCCAATAATTTCATCATAGTTTGCTCTTCCAGTTACTATATATTTTCCTTCCTTTGCTGAATTCGAATCCAATTATTCTAAAAACTCAGATCTTCCTACATAAGGTGGTTATCCTGGATAGAATCCATTAGTCATGCCACAAGTAGGCAAAGATGAACCAGAAGTATAACATGAAGTTAATCCTTAATTTCCTCCTGCTAAACCTACAAATACTTTAACATTTGAAGTAAGAGGATCACCTAGATCATATCTTCCACTACCCAATTCATCATGGCCAGTTCCTCCTTTGATGATTTTTCTAGCCAAAGTTACACCCATTGAATGAGAAATTATGTTGACGTAAGGAGATTTTGTATATTCTAAAACAGCCTCAACAAAGGCTCTGTTGTATTTAAGGTAGTTTTCAGAATGATAGTTAAGACTTGCTGTGGTAGAATCAGCATCTCCCCAAGTTGTAGCATATAAATCTTATTTCTCGTATCCTTGACTTAAAAAATATTCAATCTAAGAACTAAATCCTGTCATAAAAACTCCATAGCTTCCATCTCCTACAGCCACATCACTATTTCCATGAATAAATATTATAGGTATTTTGGAGGGCTTTTAAGTTGGCCTAGTTTCTGCTCCACTAAATGAATAGATGTTTGAAATACCCATAGCATCCAGAAATAATATCAGGTCTATGGAAACCCCATAGCTTGTAATTTTAATCAAGAAAGGCTTTAAAATCCTTTGAGAAACCTCTCTAAAATGTTGGCTATGAGGATTGGTTCATGTACAATACAATTGTCGAAATCAAAAGAAGGGACAACAATTTATATTACATAATATGATGCAATAATAAATATTCTCATTTTTAATTTTCAGTAATGATAAAGAGGAAAATTTCCAAATTTACTCCATTTGATAGGGTATTGGATGGATTGGAATAAGAAGAACTTATTGATGAAGATGTTAATATGAAAATCATAAAAGTTTACAATCGAAAGAAAAATAATAAAATGTTTCTTTTAGAAAGGTTAATTTCAAACGAAAAAGAACATTTAAAATACATAGATGAAATTCACAAATATGAAATAATTAATGCTGATGGATTATTATGCATAGATAAATGGGTATTTATTATTTATTAACAGACATATGATATGTTGATTGATTAAAATTTAAACAAACTATATAAATTCATTTTAGTGTTTGATACTTATTCATAGAATTTAAATCAATACTTAGAGAATATTTAAGTAATGTATTATAAATTATTAAGTCAAAAAAAATTTAATTATTAAAAGAAGACATTGTTGTTTTCTTTAGAGCAATTATTTTGTCAATTAATTATTTACAATAACAATAAATTATATCATTTAATCCTGTGACAATGTCATGCATTTTGATTTGCTCTGATTCATGTATGAAATTTAATTGCATACCAATATTATTAACTTAACATGCATTAGAAAAAGCAAAAAAGGAAAGTTTACTTTATTAAGCACCTGAATAAGTAAAAGATATTAAAAACATTAATCATATCTAT